TGGCTATTTTGTCTTAAGTTCAAATAAAGTAGCAGTCATTTCATGTCAAAACTATACCTTATCCTAACTTGTGCTTAATAATTCAACATACCTTTAATTTCATATTAGAGCGTACTGGTTCCCGGAAGTTTGATAGTACAAAAGCCGGTACTTCTGATCTGAACAACAGGGCAAATGTGCCCTCCTATTATAATTTTATATACTTCTTCAGTATTTAAAATAAACTTTCAACAATAGTTTTACAGTGATTCCAAGTCCCCAAGCTTTCATTTGAGACCAAAACTACCCAAATATTTTACCAATTGACAAAGATACACGCTATGCGTAGGAACTATTTTGTTTTAGATATGTACTACTTTCTTGTATGTTCTTTTCGACCTGGCCTGAATTAGTGGTTCTATACCACAATAGGGTTTCAGTTTTAATTTTAGATATTAGCGTTTGTTAACAAAGTAATAAGAGTTTACAAGGATCATAAAACGAACGTTCCTGTCTAATGTATTCCATTGCATTCAGTAATTTGGAAATAGAATAAATTGTGAATTGCTAAGCAACAGACGACGAATGACAGAACAATTACATGTAATATCAAATGGCCATCAGTCTACCGAACTCCAAGGAAAGTTCAAAACGGAAAGTCCCTAATAAATGACAAAATCAAAATCTAAAACACATCAAACGAATGAATAACGACTGTCATGATCCTGCGTTTTTCAGGCATTTCCTCATGTAGAAAATGGTAGATTAAACCTGGTTTTATAGCTAGCTAACCCTCACACTTGTATGACAGTTGCATAAAATGCCTTTATATTGCCAACAATGTGTGACCAAAACAAAGTAGGTTCACTTGTTTATACATTAGTATAATTTGTTTTCTGATAAAAGCAATAAAAAGCCGTACATTCCTTTCTCATAAAGTAAGTAGTAAAGTTTTAATGCCCTTTTTTTTAAATTGTTTACAATCCTGGAAATCACATTGCATTTACATAATTGTTATCATGTTAATAGATTATTGTAAAACAGATTGATAATGTTACGAACCCGAGTATAGTTGCGGTTTTGTTAACAGTTTAGCTGGATTCGTACTTAGTATAATCTCTATATAAAACACAACAGGCAATCGTTGCAACGTTCCGACAAGTGTATCTTCATGATTTTTTAAAACACCTAGATGTACAAGAAAAGGAATTAGGATTGAAATAAAAGTAAGAAGAATTGAAGAAATTGGCAATATAACAACTAATCAATAAGGACAAAACGACAGAGAGGGAAACACACAGTATAAAACTTCTAACTCTTCCGAGCACCAGCTAATATCAGTCCTAGGTTTTTATGGGGTTCGTGTTACTAAACTGTTTCTTTTCTATTGTATACTTTAAGCACTGTTGTTTGTCTATTTGTCTTTTTCTTTTTTGAACTATGATGTTGTTAGTTTATTTTTCACGCATGAATTCACATATACCTTTGATATCTTTCGACTCTCTTTTTTAACGTACGGCTTTCAACAATGTGTAAATTTAATGCCGTGTACTCATCTATATAACAGTGTTAACAAAATTTGAAACCAACCAAAGGATAATAATAATGCTCTGCTGTAAGATTCTTTTTGCACCAATTATCCACAACTATCATGACAGACAACAACCAACGACAACCCCGAAATGAAAGACTTCTAGCTTGATACCGGCACACATGAATGCTTTGTGGGTTTCATATTTACATTAACACGAACAGTACAAAATTAGAACAAATTGAAAAAAAAATGTTGAAAGAAACAAAAGCAAAAACTTTAGTACACATAACAAAATGACAAATGACCTATAGAACCGATCTACTCGGAGTACTCGGAGCAATAATATTTATGTCAAAGTCCAATTCGTAACCCCAAAATAGTAAAGAAGTTGACCATTTACTCTGGACCTGAAATGTTCACATTTAACATGTTTAACAACAATCATATAATGATAACAGACTTTAAACAGTATATGAAATCTAACGAAAAATGATAGTAATATTGCATTTTTTTTTATCAAGTGGTTTTCCAGATTCCCGCCTATATTTTACTTACATACGATCGCGTATTTAATAAAGGCAACAGTAGTATACCGCTGTTCGAAAACTCATAAATCGATAGAGATAAAAACAAATCCGGGATACAGACTAAAACTGAGGGAAACGCATCAAATATAAGAGGAGAACAACGACACAACACAAATACAACATTGAAATGTAACACACACAGAAACGAACTATAATATAACAATGGCCATTTTTCTGACTTGGTACAGGACATTTTAAGAAAAAAATGATAGGTTGAACCTGGTTTTGTGGCATGCCAAACCTCCCGCTTTTATGGCAACGTCAAACACAACACCAAAACGACAACATCACATGACAGGACCACAATACAAATAAATGGGAGAACATATAGGACAAAGAAACACACGAATAATAGCTAACAAAAGGTTCTAGGCTTAACACGTGTATCCCATACCTATCATACGTACGATTCGAGTTATCTTTCTTGGTTTTGATTATGACAATTATTTTTCAATATACTTTGTAGATGAACGCCCCATTATACTGTTTTTCTTTAAGAGGAATAATGCGAGCTAGAAATGAAAGAAAATTGCATATCTTACATTTTAGCTTAGAAGTTATAGAACGATATTTAAGACCTATGCACAGTTAAAAACCTTGATTTTCTTTTTTCTTAGTGGCAGTCATCGTGTTTTTTGCAACACAAAAACAAGATATTTCGTTAAATCGTTTTCAATGGCGTCGTGGTCTATTTAAGGATTACGGCAGTGTTTGAAAGATACATACATTTCAATGTTCTTTCTTATTGTGTTTACTGGTTAAAGGCATAAATTCTTATATATATAACATAGGCAAAAACAAACTGCATGTGACAGAAGTCATTAAAATGAGTTTCTTAGAACGATATATTTATCAGACATGTCAGATTTCATGTTGAAGCTTTGTTATATTTTTGAACCACATAATTAAAGAAAATATCCGGTATGAGGACACCGTTATAAATTTACATAATTATTTTTGACTTTACGACATAATGTTTTACAAACTATTATGTTGATATTATAAACATGTAATTTGCTACACATATTATTTATACACAACATGTTTGTATGCGTTTGTGCTACATAATACATTGTAAATTGATATATTTGAACTGAATGACTCCTTAAGACTGATATGTCAATTAAAACATTAATGACATTATGAAATTTCTCTTCTTAGTATGTGGTCGAATTGATATTATATAATCTTTTAATTTAAGGATTTGTTTTTTTTTTGTTAGTTAGGTATGACGTTTATGAACCATATGGAAAGTTTGACCGCAATTTTTCTTTATGCAACGCTGTAGAATCAGAACGGATTTTCCAATCGTAACACTATATAACGCGATAGATTCGAATACAATTATCAGTTCAACTTGCTAGTGAAAAATACACTGTATAATGGTAGGTATTGTTGTTCATCTATCGAAGTTTATACGTTTTTACACATCGAAATGTGGTTGTCAGTTAATTTTCAGATTACTGATGAGTCTGAATGTCCCTTTTTGTTATCTTTTGTAATTTGTTTGTATACTCTCTATGGTTTCGGTCATCATTTGTAAGTTCATTTTGACGAATAAATAGTTTGACAAATTTGTTATGTAGTAAAATCTAGAAACCGACTACAAATGCACTGATAAAAAGGTTGGAAAAACATTAGAATTTTAAAAGAATATATACTGAGTAATGTTCTCCAGAGTACAGCATGGTTTATACAGGTATTTATGTGTTTAAGTTTTGTCTCCTGTTCTAATTTAACGGCATCATTTTTGAAGCAATTTCTCAAAAAGTGCATAAACTAAATACAAAATAACCTCATTTTGCCCTTATTTATATCTAAACATGAACCTAAGACCTAATTTAAAATTATAATGATTATTTCCAACTTTTCAAACATCCGTTAGTTAAGTATCTTTTTGGGGTAATACGTTGCAATTTTCTAATTTACTAATACCTGTTAGTCAATTTTGTCCAATTGATTATTAAGTAAAAGAGTTCTAAAGAATGAAAAGTGTATCATTAGTTACATAGTGTGCTACTAACCTAATACGATATATATGGGGCCAATAAATTCCATATGGGGTGAGATCGAATGCCATGGATCACCGGGGCGTTAACAAACTTAATAAACTCAATAGCAAACAAAGCCGTAGAAAAGAAATAGCATATCAACACTAAGTTGTTGTTCATTTTTGTATTTGGTTTGAATTTGTATTTTGTATTGTTTTGTGACTTTTGTCTATTTGTTGTGATATTGTTTGTCTTCTTGTTATAAAACAAAAATTAGTTTTCTTATAGTGGGTGTATATTCGGCTGATAAATAGTAAATTGTATGAAGCAGTACGATCTTTATGAACGTTCTGTTGCAACTACATGCATTTTAATCTAAAATAATAATTTTTTAACGACAATACACTCTGTATTATTTACTATTAAGTTTAGAAAACCTACGTAAAAACCATTATCTAGAAATAATGCGAAAGAAAGGAAAATTTAATTTAGCAATACATACTTTCGGTATAATTGAGTTTAGCCTACTGTAAGCGGATATGTAATTTTTCGGATCAGCAATTATAAGATCTACAATGAAAATCAGATTTTGAACGATATCAAGTTGTGGGTGTTTGTCTATTATATTACACATAAGTTGACCTCTTATCAATAAAAAAAAGATGTTTGATGATGAATGTTGATGAGAAACGCCATTTGATTTATCACGTGACACTTTAGTGTCTCAAGGGTTAATTGAAGTTATTATTATTTTTTTTATATTTAGTTAAATTCAAATGTCACACTCAGTTTATTATTATAAAGATTAAAGAAAAAAATCAACTTAACTTGTTTTTGTTTCAAGTAAGTCAAACAATGATTATGGATAATTTATTTTTCTAGAACTTAAAACTGAGTTGCATCCTGGTAGTGTTAGCTTTTTGTTCAAGTCTTACTATCGCTCAAAAAAGGACCACCATAACTGGAGATTTAACCAAGAACAAAGATATTGGAACAAGGGTAGATCTTGGGATTTCCCATCAACGCAAAAAATGGAGATTTGACGGATCAGCCTTTGGATCATCAAGAGGTCATAGAGGAGGGAGTTTAGGGATATCACACAAACGTAAAAATTTTGAATTTGGAGGATCAGTTTTCGGAGACAATCGGGGAAATCGAGGTGCGAAAGTAGGCTTCAAATGGAAGTTTGGAAAGAGATCTACAGCATGGGTATATATATATTTTCATTTTATTTATATTTTCTTTTTATCTTTCTAATTCGACTTTAAATAAAGATGGTTTGCTTAACAAGAATTGTTCCCAAACCGCCAAAGATCCAACACATAAAACCTCAAATTTAAAGCGGAATTGCGTCATTTCGGCAAAAGAATAATTTAAAGCAATAAAGTACTTAATTTGTCCAAAATAGTACTGTTTATGACCTTTTGTTTTGCAGTATTTATTTCTACGAATTTGTCGGTTGCTATATTCTCTTTAATTACTAGATACGCTATGGTATAAAAGCAACTCATAGGTAAACACTTTAGATTCACATGTCTCATATTAATGATTGATTTACCTGTACATGTATGCTTACCTAATGTATGTTCAAATAAACCTGTAAGTCACCATATTTGTAATGTGTCATGTAATAACAAGTAAATTAACCTTACAATAACTTCTTTCATTTTTAACTAACATTATAGTCTAATAGTACATGCACTTTTATGTAGATGTTAAACAGAAACACCGCATAGCAATGTAAACAGATAGACTTATATTGCTATACTTATAAGATAACTATGCTAACACTTTTTTTTTAAAATATTTTTCTTAGAACGGTGAACATTTTGAAGTTCGAGTTGTAGTAAACCATTGTGACTTCAATGTTTAAGATATAAATGAAGACAATGTTATCACAGTTGATGAGATTTATGAACTATTTCCTCAAAGAACTGATGCACATAGGTTGTTCAAGGCGCTTGATTCTACATCAGGTTAGTATAGTTCTATAATGATTTTGTAGGAATGGTGTTTCTTAAAATTACTTTATTTTTTAGTCAACATCATTATTAAATTATTTATTTGATATACCATTTCATTTATAGTTTTAAAACCAAACAATTCAATTTATCACATATAGTAAATTATATTCAAACAACTACATGTATATTCAAGGAAAGAGAGTACATGTGTACCAAAATAATATTTTTTTTTACTAGACTTATATATTTTTGTTGTGTCATGTGCTGCCTTATAAGATATTTGTTTTCCGCTACACATCTTGAATATTTTCAATACAAATAATGACATTCCGAGGACAATTTTCATTATCTATACCATTAGAAAGCAACATGGGTACTTTTGTTATTGAGCACTTGCAACCGTTCTAGATTAATACGAGTTTAGATTTTTTTAACATGGCAATTATGACGAGTTTTCTAAAAATAATTCATTTATTGCTACGTTTCATGAAATCTTGTTTACGGTAAAATGGTATGTATGTATTTCATATCAAAATGAAACCAAGTATAACGGTTTTAAGAATATTTCTTCATTTTCAGTTGATGGTAAAGTGACCATTGATGAATTTAAGATGATGGCACCACAAGTTATAAAGAAATGTGGATATAACAAGTATACGTATTAATGATAGTTCTTGTTAAATATATATCATTGAAGCGATAGTGAAAATCATACATGTAAATAATAGATCAATATCTGAATATTTTATTATAAAACAAATGACATATGTCAGACAGGAATTTTACTCTTCTATACATTGCATTCTTAGATTTATTTGTTTATTTGTTTATACGTGTATTAGAATGGATCATTTATTAATAAAATTTCTCCTATATGTGACTACCAGTTATTTATTATCAGCGGTATATATTTTGCTTGTTCTTATTGATATTTTGTTTTACTGTATGTTATATAAAAAAAGGAGATGTGGTATGATTGCCAATGATACAATTGTCCAGTGAATGATGACACAAATGAGACTTACCCATTAATTAACGTAGGCTGTAAAAGGTCCCGATATGCCAATATGAAATAATTGAGATAACTAACGGCCTTAATTATAACAAAACAATTTACGAAAATCATATATGACAAACATGAACCAAAAGCAACGAATGAGCAGCAAGCTTCTAATTTGGGACAGGCACATAAGGAATATTGCAGGATTTCACATGTTTATGAGCGCTCTACACTCCTCTAACTTTACACAGTGGTGTAACAGCACATCATACGACAAAACTTTAAATATCAGTTCAAAAAGGATGCAGTCATCGGATCGATACAAAGCAGAAACATATATCTTACAAATTACAGACCGGGCGTGTCTAGATTGGTAACAATTTTGAATGCAATTTGATGAAGGCGATAATTTGGGACAATTGACAATTGAGTATTTCGTACCACATGTCTTTAAACTAGCTTATCTAAGATATATTTGTATAGATTTGATATCATCATGCGACACGTGTTCATCACAGAAAATGTAAATTACACGTTAGAACCTTTTCTGATTTCGAAGGGATTTTTTTAAATTAGCTTCATCTGGAAAACCATACCCCAACAATTGTACAAGTCTAGGATGTCTTTTTTGTATTATTACAAATTCGGCTGACAGTGACACATTATATTTGACAAGTAGAAGTGTGGCCCTGAATTGCAAAATCTGTGATTAATTTTGTATATATAACAAATCAAGTGAAGATATAATCGAAAATGGAACTGGCCTAAGAAAATTCATTGATGAAAATCACACATACAGTAGTAATTTTATGAAATGTTATTGTCTCTTTGACACATTCCCATCTCCCGTTCTCAATTGTATGTTTATGTGTTCAATAAAAAAGGCAGTGCGATTGTGTCTGGGTCACGGTGATAGTAATATATTGTATATTGATATTTTTGTTCAGCGAACATGTGTGGTTAAACACATAAAATCAAGTTATTTGAATCAATAATTTATTGGTTTATTATAACATTTGATAATTGAATTACATGCAGTCATCCACGTTTAACATACATATACCGACAAAACTAGTAGCAAAGGGTTGTATACTAAACGTTCAACATTCTCAAATAAATATATAGATTCACCATTTTAAACCTTAATTGTAGCTTCTTTTTAAAGTCTGTCGTGCGGTTTTTCACATATAAAAAATCCAATTGAGTGTATACTTTGTTTAAAAGAAAAGATTCGTTTTTCTTTAAATTTGACAACTACAAAATGTCATAAATACTTTGGTTTTTATAATATACTACTTACAACTGAGAGAAATATTCCACGCACGTAAATGTAATCATACATTATTGATAATCAACATGTTGTTATGCATTTTTTATTTGAAATTCCTTGAAATTGTGTATTGAATAAATAAATTATATTATGTTATAAGGTTATATTACACATTGACATCGTAACAATCCTAATGCGGTAAAAAGTGTTATGGAAAGTACGACAATTTCAATTTAGATTATAGTTTTTTTTTATTGTTTTAACTAAATCATTTGTATAAACGAAAAATTTGACCGCAAGTGTTTAATACCAACACACACAACAAGGAAGAATTTTTTTATAACAAAACTATATAAGTAGACATATTTGAGGGGAAATGTATACGGTATACTAATCCCAAAGTTGAAAAGGCACGCCAACATGGTAGGTATTTAAATTTTCTTCATGATTTTAAATTTTTTACCGGACGACGATTCAGCAAAATCATAACAGAAATTTGTAAAAACGACTACATATAGCTTTCAGCATATCACACTTTGCCTGGACAGAAGCCAATTGCATATGTACATGCGTCGGTATGGAACTAGTCTACAGTTGGCAACGACTTTTTTTATTCAAGCTTGAATAACAGGAGTCAATACTATAGAAGAGTTATTTACCTTTAATCTTTATCTCCCTTAGTGATTGTGGATAGAATTTATGTAGTGTTTATGTGTGTGTTGTTGTGCAACTGCTGTTTCAACTGTAGATGATGTTGCCTGGTGTTATTCGTTTTTTAGTTTTTAGTTTCGTTATACTTCTGAGTGTCTACTGACTTTTTTTATTTCGGTATCAATATTTTTTCGATTTGACAAAATCTGACATAAATTTACGTACTCAGCAACGAAAAATGTATAATTGCTGATGTATGTGTTTATGAAAGTTATGTAGTCATACAAACAAATGTGGTTGAAATATTGAGTATTTTACCTGATTTCAAAAATAACGTATTTGTTTGCATAATTTTCTCACTAACAATATCATGATTACAATTCAAAGACATTAACTCGTTGGCACTTGTTGAACTACAGCAAATGCTTGATAAATTACTAATTTTTGTTAATACTTTTTATGGTAATATGTGGTCATAACACGTGAAAACTTGATAATAATGAAATGAATTGATATTGTTATACCATTTTAAAATTGTTAGTAATACATGTAGAAGTTACTGTAGTTCGTTTTAAACGGAATAAACATCGAAGTGTATTTTTCTTCTCGGTAGAATATCTTAAGTTAATTTTTTTTTCTGAATATAAAATCGTGTTATTTTCTTGTGATTATAGCTCTCTGTACAAGTACTTTGTTGCTCAAAAACATAAACCAATCTTTAAAGGAGAGTTGACGCGGACTGAAGATAGCGGAACAAGAGCAGATCTTAGCCTTTATCATCGCCATAGGAACTGGGAGTTCAACGCAGAAGGATTTGGTACATAAAAGGACATCGAGGGGGAAGTCTTGATGTATCATACAACGTAAAAACCTTCAATTAGGTTTATCAGTGTTTGGAGACAACCGGGTTGAACGAGGTGTGCTTGCGGGGTTTAATTGAATTTTGGAAGAAAGAAAACACCCACTCCTCCGCTATTTTAATGTTATGTTTCTAGTAATTTACTTGAAACTAAAAAGACACATAACAAAGATGTTTTGACTGTCAATATGTATGCTTCATTCTAAGATGTGTGTTTATAGGTCAATCAATTCTCTACATTAATAATATGATTATTATGAAGACTGAAGGGGCACAATTCTGTTTTTAATGGATGTTTTTTATCATGTATTGTGCTTTCAAAAATCGGAGTTAAGATGAGTACAAATATATTCAAATGATTTTCGTTTGCAATACTATGATAACAAAGAAAATTGCCAAAGCTATCACATTTTTCCACAATTGTTTGCATGCGTATGTAAAGATATGTTAAAAAAAAAGAACTGACAAAAATACAGTGAATATAAAATCGACTTTGAAAACTTAAAAATGCCCTAACAATGAATAGAATACCAGAGCCGTATTTGGCAAAATCTTAAGGAATTTCGTTCCTCGATGCATTCGACTTCGTACTCTTTTGTGCCTTTTTAACTTTTTCTATTTTAGCGTCACTGATGAGTTTGATTTTCTCGTTTGAATTATTTCATATTTGGTCACATTGAACCCTTAATGGATAACTATACAGTACGTGCTTGCTTATTGTTGAAACCAGTACAATGTTCACACTATGCACACTTCATTGACAGGGATGTGCTCTTTTCACATCAACTGCTCAAAATTTTTTAAAAAGAACGAATATAATTGACGCTAAATACGTCTTATGAGCACCCTTACGATTGATGATTGATTGTTGGTTCCGTAACCTCGAGAGGTAAATATTTCATGCATGTTCGGGACGAGAACAAATAAACAATGAATATGTGATGTAGGTTTTTTAATAGAGCACGTCCGAGCGGAAAGTCAGGAACATTAAGACTGGTACTAACAAATAAAGGTATATTGGAAACGGAACCTTTACGAGTTGATTCAAGGCTTTTTGACGTGCAAGAAGCGTGACATTCTTTCGACACGAGTCATCGGATTCAACATCACCATGCTGACCGTTAGTGACTGCGTACTTGTATATCCCGAAAAGCTAAACGTATGTCTAACTTAAGAAATAACTTTCCAGCCGATTCGAGGAAAACAAAAAATGACCATAGTTAGGTTCTCCAGTCACCTATAACGAAATGGTTGAACAATGTCACGTGATATTTTTAAGGCGTGTTGCACCATTTCGGTTTTTAGCCAACTGTATGAATGTAACCGTATGATTACATATGGTTGTCACAATAGCATTCATGTTAGTGAGCTCCACATATCTTCATATAGAAAGCTATCATTTTATTATCACATGTCAGATGTAGGCCTGTTCTTTACATCTGAAGGTCTACTATGTGTAAGGCTATCAAACTAACAAAAGACAGCCTTAAAAATATCGATGCATATCGGCCCATAGTATCAGTTTTACAGCTTTTTTGTCAAGTCTTACACAAGAGATCTCAATTTGAACAAATTAAATATATAAGCAATCAATGCTCCTTCCTAGATGTACATATACAAAAAAATGTATTCCAATTTTTCACGGAAACTCGACAAAAGTGACGATATTTCGTTTCTTTTGTAATGTTTATCCATTTTGATGGTGATGTTTCTCTGGTGACATCTTACCATTCTTACGGTGTTTATTAATCTAAGCCCATGTCTATTTTTGACAATTTGAATTTTAAGGCATATTAATGTATTACTGGTAAAATATCAAGTCAAATATTAAATAGAACTAATTATTCAAAAAGATTACTTTTTGTTTTCATAAATAAAATGATTCTGTTTGGATTTTTAGCTTTACCCGTGGTAACGTATTACTCTCAGTTCTGTTCTCATCAATATGATGAGTAAAGCCCTTCTCATTTATTTTTTTTTTTTTTTTTT